AACCTTAGTTAACTAGGTAGGTACCATAATTTTTAATTAAACAATTAAATATTTAATAAGTAAGTAAACTCAAGAATTGGTGCGTCATAGTTAAAAAAAGCAATACCGCTGTCTTTTCAAGTTCATGCCTGTTTTGCGAAGGTTCATAAATTAAACCCATACTACTGAACGTTGTGGCGATAAAAACCTATTTGTTGTTGATGATAATATTTTCAATTCTTCTCGATAAACGCGCTACCATTTAATTTGTTTATATTGCGATGCTGGTATTTTTTTACGTGCAGCAAAAGTAAGAAATGATGTTATTTGACTGTGCCTCAAAGGGTTAAGTGACTTTTCATTATTTATTCTTGTTTTTTATTCTCATAAAAAAGCAAATTCTTTTTGAGTGCAGCGTCAGCGCTATGAGAATCGCATCCGCAAGAACATCCACACTGATAAATGTTCAAATCCATACACAAAATTCCGCAATTGAGGATGCGGATGCGAATATCCGCAACATCCGTTATACATTGGGATGCGTCAAATGAGCATACACCATCTGGTGGCAAAATTTATAACTCGAATGAGGGAAAAATTTACATAGGAACTGTGCACGCAAATTGTAAAATTGCTTATTAAAAACCATAAACACGTTAAAAAAGTAAAAATTTTTTTGATGATGGAGTCGACGAAGTTTTCTTCTAAAGTTAAATCAAATAAAAAGTTAATATGTTCAGTGAAAAGCTGCAATAGCACTTCATTTGACGGATTCCAATAACTACATTAAATATTTCAACATCCTCTACATTATATTTAGATAGGTACCTATTTGATAAAAAATAAGCATTATTAGTCACCATTTCCTGTACTGATTAAAAAATTACTGAATTATGTCAAGTAGTATTTTATATGTATACACATGTATGTCTGCTATTGAATCAGAAAAATACAATAAATTGATAAATTTTATTGAGGATTATACCTATGTACCTAATTAAATTTACGTTTAAAATACGTACAGCATAAATCATTAATTATTGCTGTTCCAAAATATTCTTAAAATTGTTTCTATCTACTAATAATATTGTAATAGTATCTTATTGTTAACAAAAACGGCTGTCACTTTCTGTAGTTTTGTGTAATCTGAATTTGTTAATAAGAAATCTTTACTGGGTTTCTCACGTAATGCTGAAAGTTTAAATATCATTGTTGATTGTTTTGTTTGGATTCAAAGAAACACAATGTAGGCTAATACAGTCAAGGTTGTCAATAAACGAAATGACCTAATGAGTGTACACAGATAATGAACTATACAATTGACCTGCAGTCTGAATTGCAGCAGAGGACAAAAAAGACAGCAGGATTTTGTTATTAAAATAAGTAGACACACAATGTATTGTGATGATTAGATCAAATTACGATCAATTAATTGCATCTCGGCGTAATTTAAGATCACTGTCTGAATCCTTTGATTTACGATACATCTATGTAGGTACCTTACAATTTTTTACACTCTACATCTACATCTATACGATTGATGTGGAGTTGATATGGGTAACGGGATAGCCTAGAAGTTTAGGTTTAGACCACTGCTTAGCATTTGGAAGGGCACCGATTCGGTTCTTGGCCCGTCTACACTGATCCAAGTATTTTTATGATTTCTTTGGATCACTTAGGCAAACGTTGGGGGCAGTAATCACTACATAGTATAAAACAAAGTCGCTTTCCCGCTGTCTGTCCCTATGTATGCCTAAATCTTTAAAGCAGATTTAAAATGCAGGGACATAGCAGCTGTGGCGATACCGGCCGAGAGGCCGGTTTGTATTGTCTAATGACAAAAATACTGTGAATGTTGTATATAAAGACATTCTGTAGTATATTTAGTATGTTCAGGGGGTATCTTTTGAAGATTTCCCCTTTTCGATAATAATGTAAACAAAACAAAAATATATATAGTAGTATCAGCATTGCACCCGTGCGAAGCTGGGGCGGGTCACTAGTATTATAATAAAAGGAGGCTGAAGAGAAGCTTCCGCCTCACCTTCTTGCATAGTCCAGAAGGACTAACCGCCCACCAGCATAATTAGTAGCTAGTGGGAATGAAACACCCAAATGTCCTATTAAAGTTAGTTTCAGCATTTGCTGAAGTAACACAAATTCATATAGGTAGGATTTTGGGAGACATGGATGCCGAAAGTCGTAAGTACCTAACAAAGCAGATGATCTTCGGTTGGTTTTATAATGCAAATTAATACCTACTATTTTGTACCTTTTACTTCGTGTCAGTTAAGCACTATACCCAGATAAATATAATAAGGATGTTTAAACAAGATAGATATTTTGTTTACTTGTCCAGGTTTACTTAAATACTGTAATACCAACTGATTATGCATAAATGGGTTATCATAAGCAAGTATTGAGACATGTAAGAAGTGGGTACACAAAAAACATAGTGAATTTTTTTTAAAAGCGAAATGCTTACTTTCGTACCTATAAGCTCATTAGAAAATAATAATTTAAAATGAAGCTATTAATGGGTGCAAAAAATCTAACTATAAAAAATAAATGAGAATGTAGATTGTAAACTGGCCCAACCTTAGTTAACTAGGTAGGTACCTACTGAAGTGTTACAAAAAATTATAATTGCTTTCTTCATATGTTTATTAGAAATTATCTTGCGAGCAATAACTAATTTTATGCTCTACATATTCTGTAATTGAAGATTTAAAAATTCCAAAATAAAATTAAGAAGTATGTATACTCATACTGATAAATAAATTGCTCTACAGAAAATAGAAAAAACTTATGTTAGGAAATTAATGACAAAGAATAGCCAAAATGGTGAATCGAATTCTGAAATTATAGTGTAGGTAGAGATAGGTAGGTACATAACTTATCTGTAGAATGTGTGCATCAAATGGGTGAACATCACATTTTACTGTTAAGTTAATGAATTACCTATACTCTATCAGTCTATCATATCTAAGTACCTATGTATACCTTCGCAGCAAAATCTGCAACACCCTCAGTTTTTTGTAAACATATAAGTTCAAGGGTAACAATAGGTTCGATTAGTAAATCTTAATAGAACCGACATAACTAGTCAAATAATTTGTCGGTAAGTAAATAAATTAATTAATTAACTAATTTAAGCAAATTATTTTTTCTCTTGTGTCAATCTGTAATGTATTGTATAAAAAAAAAGAAAAACTTACCGCATTATTCAAAAATTTGCAATAGCATTAGCATTGTTCAAGTATTCCCGAAAAAAGGTTCTTAGGAAACCTTACAATAACCCCATTGCTATTCCGATTATGTTTTTTAATTATCCTTTATTTCTGGCGTTTCTTCTAGGGTGCTTTCTAATTAACTTATTAATAATACAAAAGTTTCTCAAATTACACTACACATTAAGAACAAACTACTACAAAAATTGTTTACATGAATACAAACATAACGTATACATTTGACATACTGCACGTATAACCGAACCAAACACCAAACACCGACTGACGAGTGAACTTCTAATGCACCATAGATAATAGTCCATAAAACTGCATAGGGCTCAACCATTGAACTAGACTACAGATACTGGAACGCGTACGCTATGTTAAATTTGTGAGCGCAAGTGTGCGAATAGCTCCGCTGCTGCGGAGTGGGATACCATCTCTCTTTCACACACAGGCGCTTATGAGTCAATATCGGAAGTCAGGTGAAAATGAGGCAGGTGTGCGATACCCGTGTATGATTTTACATTGCCGTGTGGTATCTTTATCGCAGAAATTATTAACAAATTATTGGCGTATTTTAAAATTTGTTAAAAAGCAATAAATTCATTAGAAATAATTTTTATTGTGACCTAGTACAAACAAAACAATACAATTAATCCGAAAAAGTTCTAATTTTAATTAACTAAATTATTCTAATTAAATTAAAGTATTGTAATTAAGTTAATAAAATATTTTAATAAATTAAACATGATAAAATAATATTTTTTTATGTGAGCTATGTCTAATGTTACATTTATCGCCCAATTATTGAGGTCTCTTTTTTTGGCGTACTTTTTCAGTGGAAATTTAAAATAAATATATGTGTAGAACTAATATACTAATAATTAACAAGGTAATTATCCTTATTTTTCATTAAAATTTTCGCGTACACATGTACCCATAATGCAGGTTAAATTATATTTCATTGTTTTAATCTCTAATTAATACTTATTTATGGAATTTTATGTTTTCATTGGATCTCCATTCATTTGTGCACCTATATGTACAACAATATTTAACCATTTCAACTAATTACTTTAAAAAACTAAAAAAATTAACAACACAGTCTAAATAACACCTCTATTTACGTTAGTATGACGCAGACAGATAACCACGCCACAGCGTCTGACCTTGTCTAACACTTGGGATCAACTTTTTGAACAGCTTCCCATAAGCGCGCTCATTCCAGTGTTCCCCTCCACTTCAATGGGCTCAACAGAATATATTTCTTTAATCTATGATACGAGTGACCACTGATCATAGCATAGATGAGAGCAAAGAATAAAGCAGGCCGCACACCGAAAATACGCAACATAATGGTCACGTTCAGAAAATTCAACGATGACACAACTGCTGAATAAGATTAGTTTTTAATGTGGAATCTAATGAGAAATAATTAAAAAAAAGATTTTACTGAGCTCATCCTTACTATGTTGGTTGTGCAACTCGTTAGTTATGATTGTGATTTTTATACAATAGTGTACAACACCATACTTTTATCTATGATGATATTACCGTGACTTATGACATTTACATAAATCATAAACATTATCTATGATTATAAACCAATGTAACCTTACTTATTTTTGTTGTTTTCCTTGCTTATTAAATGCAACGGATACAACAATAATAGTATTTCCATTAATTAAACTACTTATGTAATAAGAATAACACATCATGATAAATTCTTTAAGATTCCTTAAACATTCAAAAATAATTCGAAGTTTTAGTACACAAATAAATGTGCAAGAAAATTCGAAAGATTCAGGTAATCATATCCATATCTCTTGTAATGTATGCATTGCTTACCAAAGTGTGATTTTTAGCATCTTTAGAGAGAAATAAGCACGAGGAAGAAATCCTTAATCATCCTGACTATTTTAGTGTACATAACCTTTTTACAGTAAAAGATTTATTCGATGCTAGAGTTCACTATGGCCATAAAGAAGGTTCTTTAGATGAACGTATGCTACCTTACATATACGGTAGTCGACTTGGCCATATAATTTTTGATTTGGATAAAACAGCAGACTATTTAAGACGTGCTTTAAATATAACAGCTCACATAGCTTATAGAGATGGTGTAATTCTATTTTTTTTAAGAGGAGCACAAAATTCTCATTTAGTTGAAAAATTTGCAAAACAATGTGGAGAATTTGCACACACTAGGTTTTGGAGAGGTGGTATTTTTACAAATGCTAATAAACAATTTGGTACAGTGACTAGATTACCTGATTTATGTATTTTTTTAAATACACATAATACTGTTGCTTTGGAACATACTGCAATACGAGATTCAGCAAAAATGGGCATAGCAACTATAGGAATTGTCGATTCAAATAGCAATCCTAACTTAATCACCTATCCTGTCCCAGGAAATGATGATACTCCTTGTGCTATAGAATTATATTGTAAATTATTTACAAATGCTATTTTAAGAGGTAAAGAAAAGAGAAAAGAACATTTTGGAAACTAAATAGTATGTAGTAGTGAGTAAAAAATTTAACAAAAAATACTTGCCTTTATTATGTTACTAGTATTTACTTACGATTTCATTCGCGTGGATTTCGGATACCTTTTGATTTTAAACTAACGTTAAAGTTGACCTGCATATTTGATTTTTCTGAATGTTATCTATAGTTATTGCTTATGCCTTTACATAATGAAACTATGGGGTTGGATTATTTTCGTTTATTAGAGGTATGAATAAATTTTTGCAATTTGCAAGATAATCTTATATAAAGATTCACTCAAAACAACAAAGGGGTCGTTAAGAAATCGTGTCTAATAACAGTTTTGTTCATTGCAGATCAATCACCAATTTTTAGTTATTTCACTAATTAGCTGCTCTTTACTTGCTGGTCTAAACATTAATAAAAAGACAGAATTATTTAATTTATTTAAATGACCTAAAATGAATTTCTTTGATTCATAAAAAAGGTACCGGATCCCAAATCACGTACCCGTCCAATCTTTATTATTTTGTTCACATTTAATAAGTAAGAAATAAGCAAAGTTTAGTTTTAGAGAATTTATTAAAAAATATGTAATACAACACTGGAATATTTACAATTGCATTTCTGATTTGGTAATTATTTTAATTTTACTTAAGACCTAATATACACTTATTGAAAAATTAGGTACCTATATTCGGTAATACACGTTGAAGTCGATCTTGACTAGACTTTACTATTCGATAAACTATGTAAGTATGTATAAAAATTATCATTAACCTGCTGTATCGCTTGTATACACCATGAATAAGGTTTATTCATTTTTTCGTGTGCCTTTATTTGTTTCTTGGCCGATTTACATTATTCGTTACTTCTATAGGGGCATAAGTCTTGAACATTTTGTCGGGTCCAATTAGATTTAGAACTCTAAAACAATAGTAAAAGAATAGGTACATGGTGATGAAAATGTAAATTAGAAAACATACACGTTGTACACTAACGGGAAATAAACCGCCATATAGGACATAAATAAGTGGTGAAACTTTGAGATCCATACTTCGTCAAGTCGATTTGCGAAAGTAACTGCGCAAAGTTTGCCGCATCGTTCAGTTCCCATCATTTTTCCAGTTGCTTGTACCCCATAAACCTACAAAAATAACAAACACAAGATTAAAATTAAAACATGCATCTCAAAATGTATTAATATATTTGTGTAGTACCTCCCCCGCTCTGTCAGTAAAACTTTTTTCTTCGTAGTTTGTAGAAACTGGTCCTGGACATATAAGTGAAACAGCTACGTTCTTACCTACCATTTCAGCTCGCAAACTTCTAAAGTAGCCCTAAAAAATATTATTTTGCGATTAAAAAAATTTATATTTCAGAATTAATTGGACCCTAATGAAACTAAATGTGTATCGGTGCAGTATCAGCATTATAAGAAATATTGCCAATGAACACCGAATTTTTGCTAATAATAATTGTAATAATAAACTTTGTATTGAAAAATAGATCTGTTCTAATTGTATTATATTTTGTCGTTAGATTAGGAAAAGGGAGAATCTTTTAAAAAGAAAATAATAAAATTACTTTCCATGTTAGACACTTTCTTTTTATTGTAATTATATTTTACTTTTTAATAACTAAATACAAGAACATTCTTCCTTTTTTATCAATTTAAAGATCATTAGAGCTAATATCCAAAAAATCAGTAGCTACTTACTGAATGTTATTATCGATCATTAAAAAAATGTAATGAACTTTATTG